TAATAAGAGTTCAAAATGGCGGAGTTTTCTATCTCCTTTTAAAAGGCACTCAGAAAGCTGCGCAGTACGACCATTCTCCGTATAGTAAAAGAAAATCAAAGTATGTGATGTTCGGGCGGTCTAAATATGATTTATGTTAAGGGTATTCTTAATAGGAGAGTAAAATACATAAATTTAAAATTACAAAAAAGAAGACAATTAAATCCTTACATATCTAGTTAAACTGAAAAAACAGGAAAAAGACTTTTAGTTATTTCGTAGAAAGACTGTAATGTTGTAAATAATGCTTTCATGCCATTCTAGGTGAGACAAATAAATAATTAGTCTGATACATAAAAAACTCGAAAACTATACTAGTAGTCTTTTCAAGGAAAAGAAAACTCATTCTCAAAACTGTCAAATTATACGGAATAGATATAGAATGGAAAAAAGTTATCAAATATCTAGGCTTAGGAGCATATCAAATAGAAGAGGAGCTCCAAAGCCACTCCAAAACCTACACTATCTTGAGATGATAGGATTGGAAGGGTTGTTATAGGCATCGAGACATGTTCTTTCTGTATTAGTTACCGAAGGGGGCACAATATATCTTTTACGTCGTAGTGTATCACCCCATTCCCAATATACCATACATCAAAATAAGATCATCGAGTGGTATACCAACTTTCGATGCCAGAGACAAACCTGTACCTCAAAAACAAAACATTAGAAGATCGACAACAATGTATTATAGATCACATAAACACATTTCTAGCTCATTAGTCCCATTATTTAAGAGAAAATAAAGTTATATGAGCTTTACTTTCTAGAAGCAACAACTCTTATTTCACTTAAAACTTGTTTACAAGTAATCGATAAATTAGCTTAAATATTTAACCCTTTGTGTCACAGTGGTTACACCATGTAACCATCAATTTTAAATCAATTTGATATAAATATATCCAATTTAGGTTTAAAATTTACGTTACCGGTAGTTCCCTCTACTAATAGCAATAGTTTTGGTGTTTTTTATTCTGCTTCCTAACTAACCGTTCATTTATAAACCTGTCGACAAAGAAAGACGTTACGAGATAAATTTTGAAAATTTTTGACGTTTATTGATTAAAATAAATATTCTGTACGCTCTCTTTTATTTGCAGTTATTCATAAAGGCATTTATATGCCTACTCTAATAGTACACTCAAATATTTATCTCAATTCACTTAAAAATTAAAAAATATTGGTGGTTTCACTATGAAACCACTATGACAGCAGTAGCTGATACGTTATATGCTATATTTTTTGTCAACTTATGGAAAGCAGTTGAAAATAGAAGAATTATTGGAAGAATTTGATGAAATTCCCTCTGGAACGGAATCTTAAGATAGTAAGTAAAACATGGATGATGTAAGGGGATATTAAGTAAACTTATTTGGTTGGAAAGAATAATTATGTCCAGATAACGGTGATCCAACTATTTCACCGAATACAGACGATCACGATTATGAAAACTACATAGAAAATGAAGAGGCAGTTATTGCTGGCACTGAAGATAAAGAGAATAATTTACCTATAACTGTTTGAATAATTTCCTATTCACTCACTCATTCACGTCGTCAATAGTTAAACGAAAGTCGACTAAGTCCCATGTTTACCCATTCATGACGTGATCGGAGGCCCCAATGCTTAACTGTTGCAAGAACGTGGATGTACACTGTTCTCACGGCTAGCCTCTCCGATTTTTAACGAATTTATAATTTTCTCCTGCGGAAATCCAATAAAGCTAAAACAATTCAGGTTAGGAAGAAGAAGTCCAGTTTTTTATTTTAATATATATAAAAATTGCTTTCTTCTGTTTAAAGATATACATAGGCCATACCATACCATAAAGATATACATGGCCATACCGTCATAGTGGTTGCTATGTGTAGCTACCTAATTTTTTTTGTAAAAATAAAAAATTCTAAATTCCAAAAAGTTAAAGTTTCTTTTTGGTAAAATTTTATGCTTATATTAAAGCTTTGAAGCATTTTACAGTGATTTTTCTTAATTCGTGATACAAAGGGTTAAAAAGCCATCCAGTGATACATGTGAAACATGCAGTGGCGGCTCGTGGGCACTAGCGGCAGTGGGGCACACACTGGAAAGGAATCCCGAGATTCCTTTTTCCCTTAGGAAAACAAGTTCTCCGCCTAATGAAAATTAAATATTTCAAAACAAATTAAATATTACAAAATTGAAGACTAACTGCAGTTGTATACTATTTCTTATAGTTGAAGTCCATTCTTCTGGATTTTTGGCTAGCGAAGTGATCGATGACCAGATTATTAAAATTTGGAATGAACCGAATAAGTTTTTTTTTGATGGATAACATGGCTAACGCGCACAATCTATCTTGGCACATAGTGTCCCTTAAAAATGTTTTAATACGGTTTAGTGCCGAAAAACATATTTCACTCTCCACTGTGGTCATGGAAATTGTGCACAGGATAGTTAGCAGCTCTACAGATTCCGAAAATGTAATTGTCAAATTGTTCTCAAAAAACATTTGTAATAACGGTACGACCCCATTGTGTTGCACAAAGTCATCTTGGGTGTAAAGTATGGACAGTTCGTTTTTTAATTTTAAGCTGTTTACGTTTGGAAATAAACTACACACAGTTTTAATGTCCTCATTTGGAAAACAACCTCGGTAGTCTTTAAATTTTTCACTATCAAATAAACTTGCAATTGTTAGGTGATAAGTAAAACTAAAACATTCATTTAACTGCACTACTATTGTATCACAAATTTTCTTACATATCCTTAAATTAGGAATGGGGTCCTCCTTTTCAACAAACCGTCTCTTCTTGCTTGTACTTGGACCTGATTGGGTGTTGTCGTTAAAGTTTAGTTCTTGTGGGTCTTGTTGTGATTGCCATTCTTTAAGAATTAGCGTGTCTATATTATTTCTAATATTTTGAACAGCTGCTGCAATATTTGATATGTTTATCTTAACCTTGAGAGCATCGAGCTGTCTACTCTGCAGTTGATCAAAAAGTATATCGCAATTTGGAATTATTTTGATGAAGAAAAATAACCAGAAACTAAAATCTGTCTCTTAAAATTTATCAACCCTTTAGTCTGATTAAATAAAATAAAAATTCTAACGCTTCTAATGCTTCTTACTACTTGTTATGTAATATACTTACGACTGTTATAAAATAAATGCTATATTATCATACTCACCAATAATTTTTTAGAGGAATTTGAAATCCTTGATTTGCTTCTTTTTCCATAAATTTAGTAATATTATATATTATTTCTCTTCTTTGACTATTAAGGGACCTCCCTTTTAATCTGATACTCTTTGGAGCCATTAAAACAAAACAAAAACAATACTTATATGTAAATATAAATCACGAGGCACTATAATTATAAAATTGTCACTTTTCGCACTATATTCACTTTGTATATACTCGACCCAGGTTACGCCACTGAATGACTAAGTTTGGCTTCGCCGAGTGGCCGTTGCTAGGCAACAGGCAGTCCGCAACTTTTGTCGTCACCATGCTGTTTACCAATCTCATCTTGGCCCGGCTCTACAGCACGTCACGATAAGGACAGCGCCCCGCTTGTGACGTATAGTCCATCGCATCTGTTCATCTCTTGCTGAGCGATATTGTCGTTGTCCTTAATTTTTCGCATCATAATGAGAGAGAGGCACACATTTACTGTGCCATGTACCCATATTTTACCTAATTTTTTGGAATTCTCGGAACGTCGCTCAACGCCCGGTCGTCCAGTGTCATGCCAACGCGGTTTGCGCTGAATATTAGATAAAATAATAATAGGCATTGAGGAAAATATAAAATATGTAAGTTGTTATTTTTTTTTGGTTTATTATACTAGAACACGTGCTCAAACCTCCACTGGAAACATGCAACATATTTCAAAACAAAATTAAAAGTTGCATAGGTACAAATCAAAGATAAACTAACCAAAAATTGTCAGAACAATATTAAGATGTAAAGTTTTTAATATTGATTCCAATTTACCATCGTTTTATTGGATTTGAAGGACCTTAATACTCTCTCCGTTTCTTTAAAAATAGTATAATAAGTATAATAGGTAGGGTGATCCAGGGAGTGCGAGGTTTACTCACACGAACGGTTCGCAATGGATGATGGATTTCAAACAGATTTATAATTATTAAACTAGTTAAGAAAGTTATTTAATTTTTTACTATTCATTTTTATACTGTAAATTGGCCATGAAATTCTCTTTTAGATGAGGTAGCATATGGCATCTGTTTCTATTTAAAAAATCTTTAATGTTTCAGAATACTATTTTCGAAATATTCATTTTATTCCATACTTTTGCATCATGCTGTAAATAGTATGCAAGTAAAAATGCAAACAAAAGAAAAACATTAATACTAAATAGTTAGTTAATTAGTACTTATGCCCTTATGCTTTCTAGCCACACAATTTTACATTGCGTCTTCTGTTATAAGGTGAGTTAATACAATATTTTCATTTTCTAGCCATGTCCATATTGTTCAATAATGCTTCGTTTGGTTTATTGTACGCTTTTAAATAAAGCAAAATAAGAAAAGGACCCTCTGCAAACCTAAAAAAAAAAAACGTTTTCGATGAAGTTAACTCTAAATTAAAATTTAATAAACATATGGCAAAAATTTAAAGGATTATTCCCTGGACTATTCTAAGAATATAACAGGATTATTGAATCCTAGCTGGAGGTAGTCATTTTCAACAGTTCTTATAGATTAAGAAACTTTACATGTAATTTTTGATAAAAAATATTATTGTCGAACATTTTTTTTAACTGTATCTTCGAAACGAAGGGGCCCCACAAAATACATCAAAGATCAAAATATTCCTAAAATGGTCCACTGAATATCCCTCAAAATGTTTAATATAGTATTAAAAATACTGTGTAAACAGTTTAAATAATATTAGTTGACACGGTATTCTAAGGACTGCAGTAGCTTTAGGATAGTTAACAGTATTAAAACTTACAGCTACTAGAGTTACCAGGGTGAGTGGCGAAAATTTACCAATTGATAAATATACAGGACGTTGCATTCGGCTCATGGTTAATATCATCGAATTTTTAAAACGGGCACTGCTGCTTAACCAATCGCATTCGTATAAAGATAATCGAATTAATTCGCTCTAAAAAATAAATTCAAAAGTTTTTCTGTATAGTATACGAGCCCCGTTCCTTTACAATTGGCACATTTAATAAATTTTTAATTAAATTAAAAAGATATTTAAACAATAAGGTGGCGCTGTATGTCATACATCAAAAAAGCGTTAAAATTGTATAATATGGAAATAACATGATAATATAATAATAGTCCACTGTTAGAATTAAAGCCGCCCATAGAGACATTATGGGATAATATAAAAAAGGAGTTGCAACCCAAATGTGGAGAAATATGGGGTAGGTTCACTGCACAAGATTCTTAAGAGCAATGTCCTAAAGAATTATTGCCGTTATCAAAGATGAATGTGTTTTAAATTGTATTTTACAAAAATCTACGAAAATTGTCACCTAAAATATTTCTGATAAATAATTATTATTAGTTTGTTATTTCAAATAAAATAAAAAATAAAATCTAATTTAGACAGTTGACAAAATGTGGATAAAAAATAAAAAAAGGTTTTACCAGATTGATGGATGACATTTTCTCGTAGTGTGTGCCAGTTTTTGACCTATTTTTAATATAATAAGCATCTACTAAATAACTCTTTAGTATGCAAAACATTGTAATATGCCACTAGACTATTTTTTTGTGTCACTAACTTATACATTTTTGATTTTTTAAACAATAATGTTCCTAATGCATTCATAACCTAATGAATGTCAATTAATTAAACTCTACATTAGTACGAACTGTACTCCGACTAACATTTGTGCTCTAGTTTATTACATTAACTCAAAAAGAAGAAGTTTCTTTGTTTTGTCATATATATCTATATCTATATCTATATTACATTCTGTTGATTTATAAATATTTGTACAAATTTTAAGATTACTTAAAACGTTGTAAATTTAAAGCCTCTAAGTCTCGAGGATGGAAAATTAGATGTGAAGTTTTTTTCTGTAATGGAGTACCACAAGGCCATCAGAAAGGCCAAACGGGAATCAAGGAGGAAGTTCTGTCAGATTATATCAGATTTTCCTGCAAGCATCAGGCTTCACAAGATTCTCGCCAAAGATCCAAAACAGGAAGTTGAGTCGATAAAAAGATTCGATGACACCTATACAAACTCTGGTTAGAAAATATTAAAGAATATTTTTCGAAAACACTTCACAGGCAATCGAATTCTGGAGAACAGGCAACCCGTACTCCTTTCCTGTAGGGAATCGAACACAGGACCCAATAAGGAAAACTTAAACTGCTTTGAACAAGTTGTCTCACCAAACGTTGTGAAATGGGCGATGAATTTATTCTCCCCTTTCAAATCACCTAAATAGAATGGGATACTTCGTGTTCTGCAAAAAGAACAGGAACTCTTGTTACCCCTTCTCGTGAGGATGTTTAGAATAGGCCTGGCATGGAGTTATATCCCGCTGGGCTGGACGTTGCCAAAGTTGTATATACAGGGTGGCCACTTTTTCATTGAAATGTATTGCTATCTCGTAAACCGTTGGTAACACAAAGTTGGTTAAATGGGGAAAAAGTTGCATATTTCGAAGTCCAATCTGAGGGCGTTTTGAAAACTAAAATATCAGGTCCGGTTTCCGAGATATTCGATAAAAAACAAATAAGTACCATTTCTTTATTCCGCTACAGAACGTTTATTTGCAAAAATAGACAAAAACTCATTTGGAGTTTTTTGTTTTATATCAAATTGTGCATATGATAGCGTATTTAGTTTTTTATCCGACGTTTCGTAAATGCAGGACCACCATCAACTTCTTTATTTGAATATGGACCAATATTTTCCTGGCTCATAATTTTAATGCATGTTCAATGTTGAATACAATGATGTAATAACATATTGTGATTAGTCAACATTTCGGAAGATTTGAACATCATCAGGTAAGTTTACAAGTACGGACCTGTGTTTTGTTAGTTAAAAATATTTGAATTAGTAAATGATGTATTATCAGTGTAAGAAATCAGGTACGTTTACTTGCACAGACCTGTATTATAAATTATTTGAAATACACAACTACATTTTAAATGCTTAAAATAATTTAATAAAAAAAATATGTATTTAACTACTTAATCACGTCAGAAACAAATAAATGAAAACAATGATTAACGATAAGAGAAAAACTACAGTAGTTGCTCAAAATGTCCTCCTTCTTCTTGAATACATAAGTCAATACGGTCTGTCATTTGAGCTATGCTGGCAGAAACCATTTGTGGAGTGATATTATTAAACGCATTAATTATCCTATCTCGTAATTGATTTAAGTCATTTGGAATACCATCATAATATACTTTATTTTTGATATATCCCCATACAAAATAATCCATAGGATTTAAGCAGGGTGACCTAGGGGGCCATCGAATAGGTCCATGTGTACCAAACCACCTCCTGGGAAATCTTTCGTTTAAATAATTTCTGATTAATGCAGCATTATGTGGCCCACAGCCATCTTGCATAAAATAAATATTTCTTCGATCACCTAAAGGAAGATTATCTAACATATCTTCTAGCAATTGTAAATAGTTGTGTTGGTTGAGGTTTCCGTCAATAAAAATAGGACCAATTATTTTATTATTGAGTATTCCACACCATAAGTTTATTGAAAATCTAATTTGGGGTCTTACTTCTTGAATTAAATGTGGGTTGTCGGTGGCATAAAAATGTTTATTTTTTCTATTAAATATTCCACTATTAGTAAATGTCGATTCATCTGTCCATAAAATTCGTCCATGAAAGGATACATCATTATTTAATTTTCGTTTATACCAACGGCAAAATTCTATTCTACGATTATAATCTCCAGGATGTAGCTTTTGTACAGTTTGGAATTTGTAATCATGGTACTTATGTTTTTTAAGAATGTTTTTCACAGTACTTGCAGAAACTCCACATTCTCGGCTTATTGCTCTAGACGACGTTTCAGGGTTGATATAAACTTGAGAAAAAACATTTATTTCATTTATTGTATTACGTTTTAAATATTTACCACGTTTTTTTTCAATATTTCCTTCGTGAGCCATATTTAACGCTATCCTATAATAAATTAATAAAGATGGTTGCCTCCTTCCTGGATACAACTGAAGGTATCTTTCTGCAGCTTCTCCACTATTTCTGTTACATTTTATGTACACATCGTACATATCTTTTTTCTCACTTCTACTGTAACGAACCATATTTTCAATACCCTAATTAAAAATATACCAATGCTTTTATCCGATACCAGACTGCCAAATATACAATAATAAAATGTGACATGCCAGGTTAACTTGATTTAAATTTATCTGTATAATAATCAAGACGTGTTGCTAGATATACAATTATTATTGTAAGTAGGTATCTATCTGCAGTTTGTTAACTTTTTCTTTTTTATACTATGAGGAACCATATCAGTTTAAAAAATCCAACAAAATATGACAAATCAGGCTAACTTTATGTATTTAAAAATCGGGATGTACTTTATTTATAGATTAATATTGGGATTGGTCAAGTGCAAAAACCATAAAAATGGAAAATATTTTTTAGCAAATGTGTAAACGAACATGTTGTCTTGATGTAAAGTTAAAAGTTTGACTTTGGTATTTATTATTTATAATTTCTTACAACGATAATACATCATTTACTAATTCAAATATTTTTAACTAACAAAACACAGGTCCGTACTTGTAAACTTACCTGATGATGTTCAAATCTTCCGAAATGTTGACTAATCACAATATGTTATTACATCATTGTATTCAACATTAAACATGCATTAAAATTATAAGCCAGGAAAATATTGGTTCATATTCAAATAAAGAAGTTGATGGTGGTCCTGCATTTACGAAACGTCGGATAAAAAAACTAAATACGCTATCATACGCACAATTTGATATAAAACAAAAAACTCCAGATGAGTTTTTGTCTATTTTTGCAAATAAACGTTCTGTAGCGGAATAAAGAAATGGTACTTATTTGTTTTTTATCGAATATCTCGGAAACCGGACCTGATATTTTAGTTTTCAAAACGCCCTCAGATTGGACTTCGAAATATGCAACTTTTTCCCCATTTAACCAACTTTGTGTTACCAACGGTTTACGAGATAGCAATACATTTCAATGAAAAAGTGGCCACCCTGTATACATGTAGGTAGCAATATCTATATGCAGGAAATAATAAAGATAATTGTATTTTAGTATTATATAGCGTTATATAAAAAAATTGTTGTCTTCTGATTTTTTGTTATTAATTATTTCTTCTCTTGTTTTTTATCTTCCTTGTTACCAAGGTTCAAATAGGTAGGCTGCTAGTGCTAGTGTGCACAGGTTATCGACTATAATCATAATGTGATGTTTATTATAACGTCGGTTTCTGACATTGACATTTGGATAACCTCAAATAAAATTGACTAAGAAATCTTAAACTAAAATGGTAAAGGTAAGACTATGTGGTCCTTGTAATCTCGTCACAATACACAAGGCTGGTAGAGTACCAAACTGCTATTGTCGAATCTTCCTAACATCCTTTCTTTTGAAGACACTAGAGATAATTCTAGATATGCATATTAGAAAAGAAAGCCTTCTAGCAAGCCCGTTAATCTTTTCCCAATATATCTACCTAGCATGCAAATCGACAGATTGTGCCTTATACAATCTAGTAAGCAAAATCGGATATTCCCTAAACAACAGAGATTGCTCTGGGTGCCTTCCTAAAAATAGAAGGCATGTTCAATAACGGCCTTTCTCATTCTCTGTTTGCTTCTATTGAAGGAAGAGAAATTAAAAAACTGATCTGTCATTGAATCAAAAGCATGCTTGGACATCGGAACATCATTTAATTACTGTACGCAGAGAAAGTGATGCCTATAAGACGGCGTACTTTTACTTATACTGTGGACCATTTCGGTATGGGATGTATTTAGGGATGCCATGCGATGATTTGGTTATCATAATTAATGAGAAGTACGAAGTAGTGATCTCCAAGTAATTTTCAACAAGCCCTAAATACGATAAATATATGGTGCGAGAGGAAGCAGATGTCTGTTAACCCCCGGAAAACTTTTATCGTCTCCTTCACAAAGGCAAGAAAGCCTGACAAGCTTTGGCAACTTGTCTTTGATGAAAAACCAATTCTTTTTGCGGATGAGGATGTGAAATATCTGAATATTATCTCCTGAAACCCCCAATTGGAAAAAAAACATTACCAAAGCAAGATTCAATCTCGACCCTCAAAAAGAGGAACCATATCTGAGTTTATAAGACCAAAACCATTCCTGTGCATGATACAGAGTATTGTAAAAGGAACTATTTTAAAATGGACGAAGGATTTAACACGAATTGAACAGATACCCAAGGAGTAACTCTTTTGAAGGCATTTATACCCAACCCTTTCATCACCCTTTTGTTAAGATCCGGGAATGGAGTAGGAAAGATCTACGCCTTCTCATAGGACTAATGACAGAATATTGTCGTTTGCAACAAATATCGGACTTTAGATCCTACAAATCTTTGAATTTTCCCGACTAGAGCCTAACGGCAGGTCTCAACAAATTCAACCGTGACCTTCAACAAAAGGTGTATTTGGCACGGTGAACATCTATTGTTAGTTTGAAAATTATTATTAATAACACAAATATATTGATTCTATAATAATGTACTCATAAACAAAAATACTTACAGCTGTAGTTATTTCATTTCCAAACCAACAAATTAGCGATAGTTGTATTAAAACGCAAGAAAAATACTCCATTTGGGCAAAAAATTCCGGTGAAGTCATCGGTACCTATGAATTACTCAATTTAATTTAAAAAATATCTAATTCAATAAAGAGTTAAGTTGATATTAGATAAAAACATCATTTAACTCACACTGGATGCAATATATAAACAAGACGCGAAAATTAATAAAGATGCTAAAGTCTGGCTTAGAGTTACGAATGTAAACATAGATTCGATATCATCTCTAACCCTAAAACAACAAAACCAATAATAAATTAATTGTTATTAAATTTATAGTAACCAGCCTTATTTTGTTAAACGAATTATTATTATTGTGAAAGTAAAAAAAGTACGTGCTAATACAAATAACTGTGTTTTATTTCTAACACACCCAAGTAATATTTTTAAATGCTGTGTTGAATGCGTTAGCTCCTTGTACATTTCGTGTTCCAGTGCAGGTTCTTCATTATCAGAAAACGTTTTATAATTTAATGGCAGCTGGAGCTTTTTTAAACTTCTAATCCTCAGAGTTTTAAAAACATTACAAACGATCAAAAGTTGGCATCTAAGACAATTCAACAAAGCCACAAATACTCCATCGTAGCCTAAAATTAAAAACAACATTTTTGAAAGAGTGAATAGTGAGATATAATGTATTACTGACTGCATACAAGTAATTACTTATGTGTTCATATTATAACATGGCGCAGTCAGTAAGTTGTAATATAGCAGATATAAAAATAAATTTTAATTATGCTGATGATAAGAGTAAGTTGATGACGTCAATAATTTATATTGTTTTTTCTGAAGTTAATAACAAATTCTACTGTTGTTTTTGAATTAAATCATAAATCTGATTATTGTTCATTTGTTTATTCTTACATGCTATAACCCATGCGAATATTCCCAACCCAACGTCCATGAATAAGAAAGCAAATTCGCATTGCCATTTTGTATCTGTTGAAAAAGGTATATAGAAAAAATACGGCATGAAATCTTGACAGGTCTTATTGGTGCCTTCGAAGTTATCACCTTTAATTTCAACATTGATTATGAGAAATGATGATATATGTGCCGATATACCAACGAAACTGTACATAATGAATACCTAAAAAGAAAATAATAATTTTGATATTACCAATAGTCAAAAAAAAATTAAAACTGTTCTTACGAAAGTCTTTGTTAATGTAATTTTAGCTGTCCATATTAATAATTAACGGAATGTAGTAAGTATAAAGATTTTAGTAAGTATATTATTATTATAAACCATATTCACTTACCAAAATAGAAAATTTCGAGCTGGTACTCTTTTCCATAGTAAGAAAGAGACCAGGCGAAAAATCCGCCACAGCCTCGTAATAATACTCGCTATCCTGTAAGGTATCCATGATTTTCAAAATCCGCTTACGCCCGAACACCAAAATGCAAAATTTCAAAATTCCAACGACGTGCGTGAAAAGCATTCCAATATGACTGATAAGCTTTTTAATTTGCGTTACAGTTTCGTTGAAGATTAACAATTCGCAGATTAGGAAGCAAAATCCTGTACCATATAGACAAAAAAGGTAGGAAAAGTAACAGATTTTAACTGTGAAAGAATTTTCCTTGCTTGGTTTCCACGTTCCTGTAATTTTCCTGATGATATCATTGGTGGCGAAAAAGTCGTCAGGATAATTATCAGTATTAAGCTGAATCACTGCCATTTTCGGATGACCCTTGACAAAAATCAGGACGATCCTTTATATATCGAAATGTTAGATACTAAAATATTCAATATGTGAAATTCTAGCCATGTGAGCATACGATCTATAGCCCATAATTCCAGGGTCGGTGCAAAAGTTGCAGTTAAACAATGAAACAAATTTTGCTGCCACTCCCCAGTTCGTTACTCCCTAGCGCAAATGGCTTTCCACGAGGACATAATAAAGGAACAGTTTTTTAAAGTTTATATAAAAGAAATTGTAGATTTTTTGTCAATTGTTTTATATGATCTGACCATCAAACACTTTCACTGGGTACCGCGTTATTATTAAATAAGTGTCGGTACCTAATAACATTGACCATAGGTTTTTTTACAAATCACAACGAACTACACAAAATGACATTATTAATAATTTATCAATACAAAAGTTAAGTACAATGATTGCATTATAAAAGTTGATTTTCTCGAAATTACTTTTTTTAAATTATTCCAGTACCTACCTACTATTGTTCTAGTACAATGATATTATATGAATATGCATTGTGTGATATCTTATATTTTAGGAATAAAATAATATATTTTTTGCAGGTTTCTGTTAACAACGATTCCAAGAACTTTTGAAGATATTATTAAAACGGCCTTTGCAAATATAATTCTCACTTAAGAGCTTTTGATCTAACATTAAATATTTATTCTCCAAAAGATTACAGCTACCTAAGAAGAAAGTTTAACAAGACTTACCTCTTACTAAACCCAAAATATCAAAATGTTTCTAACCAGTTGATGGTTCTCCTGGTTTCCATAGTGAAATCCTTCTCGAAACTACTAAAAGAAATGTGGCAGAGACAACCGAAGAAGGCAAAAAGGTCTTTTGCAAAACAAAAATTTGTTTAGAAATCTAATTATTGTCTGAAGTTTTACCATTAATAAGTTTTAAGATTATGAAGTTCTATATGTATTTTCCTCTTTGATAACCTATGTTTAAATTTTTATTAGGATCAAAAATAAATTATAATTTTTATTTCAACTACAAAAACTTTAATATTAAAAAGGGGGAAAATGTCAGTTATGTTCAAGGATCATCAACTCTTTAAATATTTATCTACTTAAAATGTGTTACTTTTAGAAGGTATGCAAAATATCTAGTAAAATCGAGTTTGTCATTTTTAAAGTGTCCATCATGAAACTTTTTTGTACATCCATTGGAGTAACCTAAAATGGATGTCCAATGGACATCCATACAAAGTTCATGGACATCCAGGACATTATTTTGATAAAAAAAATATGGATGTCGTGTTCTGTCTGGGACCTTGTGGAACACCATACCCAAATGAATGATGAATATGGCATTTATATTTACTATCTGTCGTTTATTTAGAAGAGGACTTTCGATTCCTATGTCTTCGAGAGAATTGAGTAAGAGTAGATAGCTGACGGTATCGAATGCTTTCGACAAATCTAAGAATATGCATAAATATGGATCTGAGTTGTTTAGTAAGGAATACATTTTAGAAAATAGGGCTAGAATAACATCTTGAGTGGACTTTTTCTCATGGAAGCCGAAATGCCTTTTTGAAAGAATTTCATATTTTATTAAATAAGATGTTAAAAAAGTGGACTAGTGGGTAATGAGGCATATTGGTTTATCGTATTCGACGCCTAATTTATCTCCATTCTTGTAAGGAGGTGTAATAATAGTTCTTTAAAATTTCTAAGCCATCTGTAACGTGTGGAGAGAGGGTTACCCCCACGGCACTTAGACCTCACTAGGCACCTCCTAGCTCGTGAGCCAGCCTACAGATTTAATGTAGTTGACAAGGTCACCAAGAGGTGCTTCTCTTATATCAGTCGGTGTTAGCCGATACTCGCCGAACATATTTCTAATAAATGAGAGCGTCGAGCAATCGAAAAGGATATACTCGATGGTCTCATCTTCTTGTTCACTCCCTCTGCAGAGTGCGGATTCTGACAGCCCCATGATATGGAGATGCTTCCGTACTTGGCAATGACCAGTAAGAATGCCTGTGATTAGGCGCAGATTCTCTAATAATCAAGTATTTGTTTGCTGAAGTGTTGTTAGGCTATTTAAAGAGCTCCTTAGCCACTCTGCAGTTTCTTGTTCCATCACATCTATCCTTGAATTTCACAAGGGAATGTTCTTTAATTAGATTTGTCACTATAGATTTTGTCAGGCCAATAGAAGGGCCAGGTCCAAAAAGTATTTGGTTGGCTGCTTTCTTGGCTAGTGAATCAGCAAGACGGCTACCTTTCGATGTGGCGTGATCTTTGATCCATCTTAAGGTGACCACATTGTTGATGGATACTTCGTGATATTCTAGTACTAATTCTGAGTAAATTCGTGGTCTGTTTAGGGTGAGCAGTGCTTGTCTGCTATCTGTATAGATGAGCATGTTCCTTTCAGTGATATTGTTTCTGGTGATTTCTTTCGTTGCTATGATAATCCCCGTTAGCTCTGTTTGAACTATACTGGCACTAATGCTCACAGACCATTTTATGTTTAGGTTTAAGAATCTGGAGTATATTCCACATCCTGAGCCTTGTTTTGTTTTAGAACCATCGGTGTAGATATGAATCGTACCCGCCACTTCCGGCTCTTCTATTTGTTCTGTTATAACTTTATAGGGCTTATGGAAGATATTTTTAGACCATACTCCACACTAGTTTTATTAAATAAATATTCCAGTGATGGGACAATATGCTCAGACATCTGTTAAAACGTTTCTACACGGATGTTATCGAGCACTGGATATTCTTTCTTCTTTCTCTTTTTTTAATTGCTTTATATAGTTCTATATTATCGGTAGTTTTTGTTTTTATTGTATAGTTAGGGTCTTTTAAATTTTATTTTCTAATTGTTTTTAGCTGTACTGAAACTACTGTCAAACTATTCTCAAATACAATGAGGCTATGAAATAAAAACTTAAACAAAACATTTATCTATTTAAAATACCATAAATGCAAAAATTATTACATCTTACGTCATCTATGTATTAATAATTATTTGAATGGGTTGATAATGTGCTTTTCTATTTTTAGTTTAATGACAACTATAGTTTTTTTGTGAAACTCTTTCAATTATGAATAAGTGGAAAATGAACACAACTTTTATTTTTACTAAAATTTAAATTATTAAAGAAAGGTGCTCATGGTTTATTACAAATGATGGGTTGCTAAAACGTTTTTTATACATTAATAGTATGTGATTTTGGGTTAAACAAATTTTGGATTTCAGAAAGGTCTCTCTAGACAAGATCTTTAATATTTTTCCATGTATCACTGATACAGAAAACAACCGTGTCGTCTGCAAAGCCCAAAATCTCCCTAGTAGATTTAATTGAAAACAAATTGTTAGTATGTAAATTAAAAAGAAGTGGGTTTAGAATGGTACTTTAGGGAACTCCTTTTCTTACCTACAAGAAACCACTTATTCTAACCATTTTTGTTTTTCCATTTAAATAAGTTTTATATAGGTTTAAAAGAATATTTCTTATACCAAAGTTTTCTAGAGTATCAACAACAAAACATGCATTTGGGAGGTCCAGAAACATGTAAAAACAGAGTTTGCTTCTGTCAAGGGCATTTATTTTTTTAAGAGCTAAAAAAGCATCTTATTTGGATTTATTTTTTCTAAATCCATATTGATTGTTAGATATTAAATTGTATTTATTTAAATATTAAGTTAAGCGTGTCTCTCTCAAAGACATATGATAGAGTCGGAAGGGAAATGGGCCAATAATTGGTAGCAATATTTTGATTACCTTTTCTTTTAGGGATGATGCCGATTAAAGTTATAATCCTATATTTATAACTTAGAGCATTTTATTAAATCTTTCAACATTATACTAATACATTGTATTATTGTTGAGTATTTTCTAAGTATACCTAATACATAAATCAAAATGCAGAGTCCACTACTGTGTTTTAAATAAATTACCGGCACATATTCAGTCGAATATGAATAAGTAATTGAGAGAAGATTAATGGTGACAGCAAAATCTGGAGTGACAAAATTAATAATGAAAATAATTTCCACTACCCAACAGAAAATGTTATAAAGTTTGAAATTTTAAAATTATTTTCAGACCAGTATTTATACATTCAAAAAATTATTTGGCAGCAAAATTTAACAGTATTAAATCTGGGAAATATGGTGGATGCGAAAGGATTAAGAATTTAATTTTGTATGGTGGATAAAATGAGATAAATGACTAGAAACACAAACGTGAAGGTAATATATTTAATTCTAACAATAACGTGCTTTTAAACTAAGATTTGATAAAACATTTCTTCAGTTACTTAACGGTTTTAAAAACTGCAAAATAGGAAAAAGATCCTCGACAAACCTAAAAAAAAGACATTTTAAAGTATTAAAAAATTGATCGGAAACATTTCTTACACTAACTAATGTTGTTATAGTCAACGGTGAAAATTTTCCAATTGTTAAAATTATAGGACGTTGCATACGAGTCATTGTTAATAACATGGAACGTTTGAATCTTTTGCTACAACTTAACCAATCGCTGTGAAATAATGCTGTTCCAAGAAGTTGACCCTAAAACAAATTAATTAACTTATCTTTCTAGTATAACAAATAACTATTTAAACAACGTCATCAAAATAAAGTATATCATCGTCTAAAGATATTTACACTAGTAATAAGAGAGCATTTATAGAAGTATTAACTTTCTGTTCCCTTTTGTTTAAAAAAAAAGGAAATTGAATTTTAAAATAATCCAACAATAATCTACGCAAGCATACGTCATATCACCCTGAATATTGTAGATAAAGGATGAGTCATATTTATACAGGGTGATTCAAAATTGAGTACAAAGATTTTAAGGACGTATTTACCAGTCAAAAATAAGAAAAATTTTTAATATAATTGCATCTCATAACTTTCTTTATTTTCTAGAAGAAGGGTGTCAAAGTTTTTTAAAAAAATCGGATTTTTATCAGTTACCGTCAAACGGGGTGAAATGGATCACGGTGGGTGAAATTGATCATTCGCGCCTTT